CTATTATAATTAGCAAATTATCGTTATCAAGTACATAAAATCAAGATTGGATTATTTTCTGTTCCATTTTCAATATTTCATTTCATTTGATGCATGACAATTGAGATATGAACAAATATCAAATATGATATCAACAATGTATACGTATATTTCAGCAAATTCGCGTGAGCTTAAATAAAAAGATAAATAAACATCTATAAACAACGTTTTTATTCCGATCATCATCATCATCATCGCGAATTGTAATATTAGCCTCACACAAAATCACCACTTACAACCACATCGTAATTAATAATAACATTAACCATCAACAGGGCAATTGTAGACAATTGAAATTTACGAAATTTGCGTTTTACAGCAATATTGACGAGGGGCCATTACTGCAAATTTGGGCCTCGGAGCCCTGTATTCTTCCGTTTATTGCCGCTTGTTGCCACCTGGCGAGCCGCGTGGTAGCGGTCCCGGGCCGGCACGTGGCGGTTTACGAAGTGATATTTATAATGACCGGGTTTTGGGGCGGGCTGCGGGCTGGGTGGTTGGGCTTGAGCTTGGGCTTGGGCTGATAATGCGGCTAGGGCAACCGCGATTAAGGCGGCGGCTATAGTCAAGTAGAGGCTAAGCCTGTTTGCCATATTTTATATTATTTAATTTAATAAAAGTGTGTGTAGTGTGTGTCTCTTCTTTGGTAGATTTGCTTGATGATGGAAGGCATAAATGGAGAGGTGAGGAGTTTTTATTTTTATGGGGTGATGCTAAATCTTAAATGCTACAGTTTCATAAGGAACGACAGTAAATATAACAGAGATTAATTTCTCTCATTTGTGAATTGAACATATATTAATTACTCTCATTTGTTATGAGGAAAGTGATGAAACGCCATTGTTTTTCCTTCTCTTCCCTTAGTTTTAATACACAAAAATATATAGCACCAATTAATCATAACAAAACAAATAAATAAATTAGAACAATAACTGATGAAAAAGAAATAGTTCCATAGTGACGAATGGAGTGTTTGATTGGGATTTTTGCGATGAATATTTGATGTCATGAAGTCATAATTAGAGTATTTATTATATGTTAAATAAATTTTATTCGATATACATGTATTCATTGTTTTATGAGATCAATATACACTCATTTGTTATGTTTAAATCATTGGTTAGTACTTTGATCTATTATACATAAAAAATAATTAAATATAAACAATTATGAAGTTTAAAAAAAGATATACATATATGATAAAAAAAAGGAGATAAATTCATAAGAATTATGAATATTAAATTTAAAATAAAAAATAAAAAATAATGTATAGAAAATTTTCTCAATTTAATAACATATTATTTTTTAGTGTACATAAGTTGTTGGGCCGGATGGGTCAAAGTCATTAATGGACCACATCGATTTAGGCCTAATAAGGAGTAGCAAATTGTTGGGCCAGAGGCACACCCCTAAGGCCCTTGCCCAACGTGTGCATTCTAATGATGCTCAATTGAACTATTGATCCTAAAAAATGCTTTGGATTCAATCAAAAAAATTTATATGTCACCTAGATAATAGACTCAGTCTAAAAAAATATATTCTACAATACAAGTGCAACTAGATTGGTTTCTGCTGATGTGGCAATAAAAAAAAGAGACCCGATCTAAACTTAGGTCTATTTTAGACACAAGTGAAGACATAGTCTCTTGCATTGGAGTGAATTTTATTAATTATATATTGTTTTATCTACGTCATCCAAGACTTGGGTTAATTTATATACTATTCTTTATACATTCTCATGGAGTTCAAGTTTGATAACCGCACCAGAGCCTCAACAGTTGCCTTTTTAGATGCAGATGGACCTACAATTGTTCGAGCTAATTACACACCTCTCATACGTGTACATCTTTATGTTGTTTTACATATTTTATGTTTTGAAGCAACACACCTAGGTTTTATGGAATTTGATATGTTTGGCAGCTTGTTTACTTATTTTTCCGATCGGCTACATTGCCATGAAAGGTTCAACTGTGTTACTGTTACACGATGTCATTAGAAATGAATGATGATTTTAGCACTAAAGAACAATGATTAATTTGGCATAGCTTTAATGTGCTTGAAATTTTATCGGTTTTAGATTATTACAAGTACTTTGAGTGAGTATTTATTTTAGTTTCATAGCTGTGGGCACCCTCAATGGCAAGAAATTGTTGCAACTTGTGAATCTTAAGACCATCTTTAACGGTGACTCATGAGTTGGGTCACCAATTAAAAAAACAAAAAATATAAAAAAAGAAAAAGAAAAACAAGGAAGGTCACGAAAAAGGAGCGACTGTGACCTGGGTAGCGACCCGTGTAGTGTTTGGAGAATGGGACATTTGTCCTATTTTGATTGGATAAGTGTATTTTTTTTTTTGTTTAAAAAAAACAAAAATGATATTAAAATTCGTATTTTTTCATTCTCTACAAATAGAGACCACACTTGATATATTTTGGAATAAAATTGTAATTTTTAAATAAATTAAAATAAAATAAATATTTAGGTTGAGTTGGGTTGGAGATAAAGATAAATTAAGTTGTAAGGTTGAGTTGTGTAGGTGGAGGAGAGAGAAATAATTTTTAATTATTAGGTTGAGTTGGGTTTGGTTGGGGATAAGGATAGTCTTAAGCTGGGTTGAACTTCTTCAGATACCTTGTAAATCTTGCATGCATTATACCGTTATTGATTGTTTTATACTTAAATCTTGCATGCATTATACCATTGTTGATTGTTTCATACTTAATCATACAAATTTTTGGATGTGAAGAGAGAGTTGAATGAGCTTATAATGAAACATCTTTATTAAGTTGTTTAAAGGTTATTATATGCTCTTGAAACATTTTCATTAATTTGTTTAAAGGTTATAAGCTCTCAAAATTTATTTGGTAAATGTCTGTAAACAATTGCAATTAAAAGATGTTCGGTTGACACATCCTTAAGTTGTTTAAAGGCTATAAGCTCTCAAAATTTATTTGGTAAATGTCTATAAATAAGAAATCAGAAGATGATAATTCCTTAAGGCATGTTGGGATTAAGAAGTTTAGGTATGGATTTCAAATTTAGGTTCAAATTACCACAGACGGATAGCTATACATTGTAGGATTTCAAATGTATGTTATAAATTATAAGTACTTATTTTTAATCATTATATTAAGAGATTTTAATCCGACTTTTTTGAAATTCACTCACCTTGTCGTGAATTACCATAAATTTGTAATTATTTTCACAACCTTGTACAAATCAAGATCAGCAATGTTCAAACCTGAAAATTCTAAACCTATTTATTGAATTCTTTGAAATTTTAAGTACGAAGTCAAACAATAAATTTTAAAAATATGTCAGGTTATGGTACTTGATAGTTGTTACTTGTTAGCCATCTTTAAAGAAAAATAATCGTTCAAAATTAGAAACAAATAGTACATAAAAAGGAAAAAAGAAAAAACTTAGAATGAAAAGCATAAAAACGACAATTTCATATTTTTCTTTCTTTAATAATTAATTATTATCCCAATTCCCAATTCCCACCTTCACCTCTGTGAAATTCAGCGAATCAAACCCTAGAAACTACACAAAAGGAACGATTTTTTCAACCTAATTGACGAATCGAGCTCTGCTACTTGTCTGTCGGGCACCACAAGCCACAAATACGAGCATAATTGCTCGTAGCTACACGCACTAGCTGCCAATAGAGATGGACCACGAAGGGCACCACGAGCAAGACGACGATGTCTACGGAGGCGAGCTGCCTGAGGAGGCTTACATGGAGTCAGACTTCGAGCCTTCTGCTGATGCGGAAGGGTATGCAGAGGATGACTCCAAAGGCAAGGTATGTTGTTTGTATCCAACTCCTGCGGGTGTATTGGATATGTGAAAAAATTGGGGGCACACGCACAAGCACAAAGTTCATGAAGGAGAACGCTTACGGAGATACGTGGTTGATCTTGTTTTTTGTTTTTGATCTTATAGGACTTGGAGAGTATGAAGAAGAGATTGCAGGAGATAGAAGAAGAAGCTGGTGCGCTGCGCGAAATGCAGGCCAAGGTTGAGAAAGAGATGGGGGCAACTCAAGGTTTTTCTTTGCATACTCTGGGCACATGTATTTGCGATCATCTTGTTGTCCTTTCTTGATTTTCAAAAGACGTGGTTTGGCAAGTTTGAATTTTCGATGCAAAGTTGGCAGCTTGCTTCTTTAGGTTAAATGACATACTTTTTTGTAGCATCAGCAAGAATTTGACTAGGAAGGTGTATTTTACTTGCTGCTGAGTATTCAAACTGGTTAAATGTTTTTAAATGCAGCAATCCTATGTTTGAAAAAAGTCATTTGGCAGAATAAAAGATCTATTTCTCTCATCATGCAGTCTTTCATGGTACGGTTTGAATCTTTTGAGTTCCGTGTTTCATTGGTTTTAAAACCTATAAACTTATGGTGCTATCTCAGTGTGAGTACTTTGCCAAGCAAGATTGTTGGCAACAGTTGTATCACAAACTGCATTAAGCTTTAGTGAGGCTGGTCTGCATATTAATTGTGTAAGCTTTATTGAGGCTGGTCTGCATATTAATTACGTGGGGGAAAGATCGAAGATCTAGGAACACAAAAATACCCAAAATGGATGGATGCATTATGTAAGTGGATTATCCAAATAATACTGGTCTAAATGTTTGAAGCCATAGACCTTATGTAATGGAACTTGGAATAGGATGCTTTATTTGTTTGAAAGTTGATAGCCAGCTTCTCTATATTTGGGTTTCTCTAGAGAATGTGTGTATCAATGCATTTTCAGGGCATGACTTCTAAGTTAAATCTGGATTCCGGTCAGTATTGCGAATCATTAAGCTGAACCAAAAATTACCAGAGTCGTGGCTTGTAAATGTCAACATCGAGAAGATTACTGGAAATTGTTGAAGTTCAATGCAAGTTATTTTATGTAAAGGAATTAGAAAATGAGGAATCAAATGTTTGGTCTCTGATATGCTTGGGTGGAGATGAAGTGATTTTGAAATGACATATAATAAGTGAGGCCCCAACCTACATTAGGTGTTGTTATATGTTTCTACCAATAGCTGATGGCAGATTTTATTGGCCTATTCGCCAAATTTGAAGAACCGTGACCGAAGTTGATCTAAGTTTTGGTTAGATCGCAAAAAAAACTTCACAATTTCCAGAGTGTACCCCCCTCCCCCCCATAACTCTACAATGCTTTGCTATCCACTAAAGTTCATATTGAGGGCATCAAAACTTAGTAGCACATGCTCATGTATACTTGCATTTATCACTCTTACATACAAAACTAAGAGTCAGACGATAACTGAAACATCTGTGATTACTTTGTTGGATTGTCCAACGGTTCAGTTCAAACTACTGTTTCACTGGTGGTTGTGGTGCCACTAGAGCAGATCATTTACAATTCACCATTTTGTCAATTTGTGAAGAGATGCTGCAATGGCTGGATAATGTCGACCCACGGCCACTGATTCAAAGCGTGGTCCACTGTTAGAAGTTAGAACCTGAAATGTGAGCTGTGTGATTTTGTTTCGGTTCACATAATATGAAATCCAGTTCGGAACCCATTCATCACGCACTAAGCCAGGAACTGCTGATTTGGAACCGAAACCATCTATAGGGACCTTTTGACGACATCTAGTTTATGCATCAATAGAAAGAGGTAGAAAAAAGAATTTTAGTTGCGTCTCTACCTGGGCTTACAAGAGGCATACGCCGTTGGAAACTTTCTCATTTTTTCCATGCTGCTCCTATGCTTTATCCTCTTTCGTTCTGAACCTCAATTCGTTGACGAAAGTTTTCTTGATTTAATGTGTAAATCAAAGGGAGTATTGTTTCTGAAGCCTCCCTTTGTTTTGCTTGTCTTATGACTGCAAGTTAATGTGTAGGTGCTTATAGTAAATGCTTGCTTTAGCGGAGATGAGTTGTTTGGTGAGTAGTCACTGTACAAGTGTGCTTCTCCCTCCCCCCCCCCTTTTTTTTCTGTGCCATGAATTCAAAAAGAAAAACAGGGCAATGTCAATCACAAATATGATGACGCGTATATGTGTGCAAGTTCCAAGACGGCAAGGATGTCACTGGTGTAATTTCTTTTAAATGTTTTCAGTGTGCTTACGCCAAGTCAGTTACAACCGCTGAACATTAATCACGCTTTCTGTAAATTACTTTAGCATCCAAATTTTTGACACGAAAATTAAGCTAGATTTATGATTACAATAATATTTATGAAACGTGATAATATAATTATGATTATTGAAATCATTGCAATTGTGTTTCCTTACCTTTTCCTTTGACAGNTTTTTTTTTTTTCGTTCCTTTGCGAATGTCCAACCAACCATACCCTCATTATGATATTGTATATCTAACCAGTATATTGCTTTACACCGTTTGCTTTATTTCTTGCTTTTCACCAAATTTTATTCCCTATTGATATTTCTCGCACTTTTCTCCACAATCCACAAATAATCTGATTAATCGAGTGGATTGTCTCTAATATTAAAATTTGGGAGGAATTTGTTTCCTATATATTTCTGTTTTTGGGTGGTTTCTCTGTAAAATTGAACAATACATTTGTGAGGCAAATAAGTCATGGCGAGTCACAATGGTTCGCTGTCGCAGTCCAGAAGAAGTATGTACAATCTGCATTAGTATTAGATCTGAAGTCTTACGATCCTTGTTTCTTTATAATTTTGAGAAACTTTTATCAAAATGCATTTGATTGTCTCCTTTTCGTTTTAGTTATTTATGCGCACGAAAATATGTGGGGATACCCCATTTTTGGTTTGATCTGAAAGTTTTGCCAAGAAAGCTGGTTCTCCTTATACATTTTTAATTATTATCGCAGCATCAGGATGATATCGGTCTAAATGGTTAATTGGTTATGGAATTTAATGAGAACTAAAAGTGGAATGACATACAATCTAGTAGGAAAAATTAATATTTGAAGAATGATGTGATACTTCTTGCCTAATCTGTTTTAGTTGTTTTTCCTTTTTTTGGTTCGGCTCCTTTGGTTGGTATTTATTTTTAAAGTTTATGTTATATTTCTTATGGGATGGCTTAGGTTTAGAATGCTGACGTGCTACTGGCTTTAGAAGCTTGGTTCTTAGGGAAGTGACTGACTGTGTCTCCTGAAAATTTCAACATGAAATTTTTGGATGAGAAGAAAGTGGCTGGGTCTCCCGAAAACTACTATCTTTTGGGTGGTTGCATATAAGGATGTCATTGTGTTGGTTTTGACCTTGAACTCTAAAGTTACCGTTGTGCAGCTCTAATTTCATTTAAATCTTGATACCTCTGTTCTATGAATACTGTTTCTGTAAATCATTCAAGTGATTCGCTTTTATAAAATTTAATTGAAGGTGGACTTATGACTGTTCATTTTATATACTATTTTTTCCAATAATGACAAATTATTCTACATAAATCAAAAGGACATACAAGTTTTACTATTATAGAGCTGAAATCTGTGGTATTTCTTCAAAGTATGTTCATCGATTGATGGAACTCTATGTTGGGGGAAAGAAAAAGTCTAGTTATCAATTGCATCATTTTATGCACGCATCACCTAATCTGCTTAAAAATGCTATTAAACTTGTAATGAACAACATTTTTGTTTTTTTTATGGGCATGGTAAAAGATTCAGGTGGGGCCTCTGCTACCCAAGCTGAAAAGGAAGAGGTGGATTCTCGATCCATTTATGTTGGCAATGTAAGTTTCTTAGTCCTCTTTGTTTGTCAAATTCACTAACGTGTAAACAAATTGTTTATTTAGTTAAGTTTGCCTGCCTTTTATATAAAAAAAGTGAAAATGTACTGAAGGTTGTTTTACTTGTACTGCCTTTGCTTATGCCTGCTCTGATCATCACCTCTATAAATCCTTTCATATTCCTGGTTCTTCCAGGGAAAGGTCTGCATTAATTGTTCCACTGATGTGTTTTTGAGTAAAAAAGCATATTGTCATTTGGTTTATTTTTATAATTTCTTCTGTGTGCGTAAGCGTGCATGTATGTTCCTGTGATTGCCTACCGATTAATCTTTGAGCTGATCTCTACTCTATTATAGGTGGACTATGCATGCACACCTGAAGAGGTGCAGCAACATTTTCAGTCTTGTGGAACTGTGAACAGGGTCACTATCTTGACCGACAAGTTTGGTCAACCCAAAGGTTTTGCTTACGTGGAGTTTGTTGAAATTGAGGCTGTTCAGAATGCTCTTCTGCTTAACGAGTCAGAACTGCACGGCCGTCAGCTGAAGGTTTTTTCAATCAACTTGGTTTGAACGTTGAGAGGAAATAATTCGTGTAGACCTGATAATGATATTATCTTTTTTTCTTCTTAAATTGCCAGGTGTCAGCTAAGAGAACTAACGTTCCTGGCATGAAGCAATTCCGGGGAAGGCATCCCAATCCCTATTTTGGGTCAAGAAGGCCTTTTATGTATGCTCCTGGCTACCCTCCTTATGGCTATGGGTGAGAAATACTACTCTTGTGCTTCTAGCTTATTAGAAATAATAGGTGGCCCAATAGAATTTTTTCAATAATATAAAATTTGTTTTTGGTCTCCATAACTTGAGGTCCTGCATATGCTGGTGCTGCTTGACAATTAACCAAACACTTTTACTGTGTGCATCATTTGAGAGAAACTTTTCGATTTTATTGTTTATATGATTCATATTTTTTCGTATGCACTGTTCTGTTTATGTCTGTTCATTGTGCTTGAGCGTGCAATTTTAAGGATTTTTTTATTACTAGCCAATACTGGTCTTTGTGCATAACGTGAACCCGACTGCAAATTTGAATTATTCCCGGCGCGCTTGTACGTGCTTGGATACAAATATATCAGCTCAAAAAATGAGTTTTTCTTTTTTGTTAACCAGAGTTAATTTTGAAAAAGGTGGTATGGTTAGTTGTTATTGGGATTTTGAATTAATATTTAAAATAAAGTAATTAAAGTTGATTTGATGTAAGAGTATGAAAGAGATGATGTGAAGTGATGGTTAGTTAAAATTATGTGAGTGGATGAAAAGTGAATTAAATTTGATGTGATGTGTAAGAATGATTAGTTGGTTTATGTAATTATATCGAGGATAGTGGGGTTGAGTTAAAGTTGAATTAGATTTTCAGTGTGAATACAATATGGATTGAGATAATTTGTAAACAAACCTAAATAGCATGATTCCTTCACAGATTGCAGTTGTTTCAAACTTCATTTGTCGCCTGATATAATCGTAACTATAATGTCTAATTATCTTTATGAGCAGGAGGATTCCAAGGTTCAGACGTCCTATGCGCTACAGACCGTATTGATGAGACTCCAAATGGGGCTCACTGCAAATGGTAGAGGAAATGAATTCTGCACGAGCAGTTTGACCTGCACTCTTGTGAAGTTAATTTATACACCATTTCCTTGTTAGTGTGCCATCTTCGAGTTCAGATTTAGACATTTAGTTTGGTACTGAAACTTTCTTTTCAACTTCAAATTGCAACATTGTTGTACTATTAAAAGCTGCATTGCCAAAGCACAACAGCATATAGGCAACAAGAGAGAACCTAAGTATTCTCTTTTGTTGTGGAATTGTACTTTAATTTGTGTTGTTTTTATATTCGGTGGATCGTCTTTAGCATTTTATGGTTGATGGCATATTATTTTCTTCAATTCCACTGCTTTTGCGGCCAATGCGGTTCTTAGTTCTCGACTTTGGTATGATCATGGATTTGAATAGGGCAACATTTAGGACGTAATAGTGAGAGTTCTCTTTTTTATTATTTGGTGGTATTGATTCAAATCAACTGGTGACTATCTAATGTTACTCTCCGGATTTTTTCATGGCCTCTCAACCTTTTTCTTTGGTCAGGAGATTTTATAGGTGAATTACCACTATGTTCATACTTCCCTCACTTCAAAGAACTCCTACACTGATTTTCAAAATCCTTGTCGTACTCGTATTATAAACTAATCTTTTATCAATTGTACGTAAGGGCAAGTGTATCTTCGGTTCAGATGAATTTTTAATATTTTTACTTGAACTTGAGTGTGATAATTTCCATATATTCAATCAATACTTCATAATATATTTTGGTATATCTCATTAGGACTCCAACTCGAACAAAATAAAATCATCACAAATTTGAAAAGACATTATTGTACTAATATTTCATACAAACAGCAATTATTCTTTGTCAAATGAAAAAGGATAAATAAAAAGGCAGCTTTTGACTTGAAATATTCCAGTCACCGTGGAGGAGTTAAAAATATTCCAGCAAGATGAAGAACACGAAGGGACTTGAAATTAAGGTATGAAATATTATTTGGTCACAGAAACCAGTTGCTTCTTGCTTCTCTCAAATTCACTCCCCCCAACTCGAAAATCTCTAAAGGAAGACAAATGAGATATCCATTGCATATTGTCAACACAAGCTTTACTCTTGAAAATATGGGGAAAAAAAATCTTCAAGGTTGAGGTACTTAAGGCTAAGGGATTATACAGTTGAAAGATCAAGATGCTGCAGGTTTTCCAATTGAACGATGAATTTCGGAATTCGAATCACTTCAAAATCATTACAGCTCAGTTCCTTCTTCAATTAATGATCCATAACCATACGTATGTGAGCTCATGAATAATAAATTTTTTTAGACAAACATGTTGAATGATTGATTTTGAATTTAAAAATTATATTGGAAACTGTGAGAAGAAAAGAAAGAAAATTAAATTGAATAAATAATATATGTTTTAATTGTTTGATCAAACAATGGAATAGGGATGTATATACAATCCCAGTCCCATCCTTCTTCTCTTGTTTTTCCAACACTGAGGATTCCAAAGAAATGATCTTTTAATTCAGTGATCTCTTTCATAATGAAAGTATCAAGACCCAAATCCTATGTTCAACTAAACAGCATTATTATTTAGTTTAATCACTAATCACTAATATAATAACAACTAACCTAGACTATGGAGTATGTATCAAGAACAGGATGGAAAACTGAACATATTGGAGGCTTTTGGAATCCCACATCGATGCAGAATAGTGTTATCAAGCCTTTGGCATGACCTATAAAGCCAAGGAAATAGATTGAGTTACGTACTTACCTGGACGGGGCCTTTGGGTGATCAAGAAGGCTCATGGCCTAGGGAGGCGACCTTCATTGCACTTGGAAGGGGCGCCCTTCTAAGGTCGGCTCTTGCGGGGGTCGAGCCTACGTCAAAATTTGTGTTAGTGGGGGCCTGCGTACGCGCGGCCTCTGCCCAATTGCAAGTTAAATCTTCTGCCCACTGGCCCGTGACTGAGAGTCCAAGGCCTATAAATAGACCTATAAATTTTGACCAGCAACTAGGATTTGAAGGTTGTTGCCCAAGGCCTATAAATTGACGAGGTAAGCCATTCAAGTGGGCATGTAATTCAGAAATTAGCAAGAGAGTTGAAACAAGAGATTACAAGGCAAGACAAAAAGACTGAGTGTGCAATTCTAGTATTTTTAATCTAGTGAGTACATGAGTTGGCATACGCCAAATTGTTGTGGCGTGTGTAAGGCCAATGTCCATATGACCGACACTAGATTTGGTGAACGTTCGATAAGAGTGTAAGTTTGTGTGCGGAGTCCCGTCAAGGCATCCATGGCGTACACCATCAAGAAACCCACATTTGCAGCTCAGCCTCTGGTAGATGAGAGTGGGCCATGCCAGCCCACCATGGTATGTTGAGGTTCGAAAGAGGACTGGTTCTTCAATGGTTGATTCTTGCTGATATAGTTTTGAGAAACTCTCCTCTCCGCCTCTACAATGTAGGAACATAAGAGAATTTAGCAAGTAAATTGTCACCTTTTGATCTCTCAATGCTGAATTATGCAAATAATGGTGCAGTATAGAGTGACTCGTAGTCTTTCAATGCTTACACCAGATCCGTATTATAGTCTAGTAAGATCAGTTTATGCATGAATATTGCTACTAGTTAGGATCAAGCAATAGGACACGAATGTTTGACGACAAACTTGAGAGCGTTTTTGTTTCTCTATATATATATATATATATATTTTTTTTTTTTTTTTTANTTTACATTCTCTATATTTTTTCTTTACTTGGAGGCAAAGGAATTCATTCAGCTTAGGTGAACTTGCACCTCAAAGTAGAAAAATAGCTAGATAACTACATAAAATGATTAATGATACATCAACCTAGTCCTTGCTAAACTTCTCCAAGGGTCTGAGGACACAACTCTTACTGAAAACTAGCTAGATACAAGCAAAGGAAAAAGGAGATGCCAATATTATCGATGAAACGGAAATGAGTGTTATTTCCAACTGGTTTCATATTTGTTAAACTCAACAAAGCTTTCGACAAGGTTCTTATAAGGACAACTCACATCAGTTTTATTATTATTCAAGATCAAACACAAGGGCATGTACACTGTTTAGTTAGTTATATGTACTAATTTGGGCCCCTCGAAATTGGCACCCACTAACTAATTCCAACATTGACAAGTGGACAAGGCCGGCCCTACCTAACAGAATTGAGATGGCACAATTAAACTCGTTTTTCTTCGAATATCCCATTATGGCATAAAATGTAATACAATTAGCTTAGATAATTGGTTTATAACAGATAGGTGGAGGTTGAGAAGGCCCAGTTAGATAATTAAGACCAATCTCCAAAACCATCAATTCAAATGAAAGAAGTAAACAAGGGGTGGAATATTTGAGGCTTTAAAATCCCACATCAAATTCATATGGCGTGTACGAGACCTTAGCATGAGATATAAAGAAAAGAAAGTACTACATTCTCCTCACTTACCTGGACGGGGTCAATGGGTGATCAAGAAGGCCCATGGCCTAGGTTGGTGACCTCCATTGCACTCTGGAGGGGCGCCCGCCTAAGGTCGGCCCAAGTGGTCGAGCCTACGTCATAATTTGTTGCAGTGGGGGCCTGCGTTCGCGCGGCCCCTGCACAAATCAAAGTTTTAATTTCAACCCAACTAACCCAATTTTATTTGTAAACTATACATTTTTTTTATTTATTATTACCGAATTTTAGATATTTTTGTAAATGATGTTAAACTACAGATTTGCCATGGCATGCTCATTTTTTTTTTCTATGTAAAACAGAATTACACCATCTTTTCTATCAACGTAAATCAGATGATTTTCATTAGTATAAAAAGGCATTTGATCAATTCGTAATTGCATATATATCTTGAGCAGTAGTCGAGATTACGGGTCTAAATTAGTCGAGTAGAGTTGAACTCAAATTCAAGCCTTTAACGAATCGACTAAACGAGCCAGTAATTGAGCTCGACTCATTTATTAATATCAATGAGTCGAACTATAAAAGAATTATATAAAAATTCTTATTTTCGAGCTTTAACTAGCGGAAGAGAACTCGTTCGTTCAATAGCTCTACTTGAAATAATGTCCTAAATAGTTTCAGTAAATTTAAAACAATTCTAGATAGAAAAAAAAAATGATATGGATTATGAGTTTCAATCATGCAAATGATGTCCCACATAAGAAACGAAAACAAGTTCAATATTGTCCCTAGTATAAAAATGCCTCATTGTGTAGGTTATTAATCACACAGCTGCCTGGTGAGCACAGAGCGAACTATTCTTTCGCCTTTTACTAAAGAATACCGTGTGCTCTCCACACTTAAAGCAGCATATGTCTATTTTTGGAGGGGACCCGTTTCCTTAAGTAAAAGGTTCCCTACAACTGAGTCTCTACAATTTCACTATATTATCTTCATGGACTTCTACATTAGCTGCAATGATGCTAGCCATAATGTTGTACCTTTTCAAATGAGATTTTCAGTGAGTTTCAATCGTTGATGATGGATTATTCGAGGTTCGAAAGACGACTGCTTCTTCAATGGTTGATTCTTGCTGATATAGTTCTGAGAAACTCTCCTTTTTGCCTCTACAATATGGGTACGGAAGAGAATTTAGCAAGTAAATTGTCACCTTTTGATCTTTCAATGCTGAATTATACAAATAATGTTGCGGTATTGAGTGGCTCGTAAACTTTCAAAACTTACACCAGAATATGAATATTTGCTACTTGTCAGGATCAAGCAATAGGATACTAATATTGTTTGACGACAAACTTGAGAGCGTTTTTGTTTCTCTATATTGTTTCTTTTTTGGAGGAAAAGGAATTCATTCAGTTTAGGTGAACTCGCACCTCAAAGAAGAAAAAATAACTTGATAACTAAAGAAATGATTAATGATACATCAACCTAGTCCTTGCTAAACCTCTCCAAGGGTCTGTAGATTTACACTAGCAAAGGAAAAAGGAGATGCCAATATAAATTAACGGGTGTTCTGGTAGACTTATTCTACTGGCCTTTTGTTATTTATGCCTTCAAGTACTGCAAGGTAGACCAAACTGTATTTCTTCTCATATTTTTCCAAGTATATTAAACATCATGTGTACATAAAGGGTGTTGTAAATACTCATTTGCAAATATTCTTGTGATCTTGTCCGAAGAAAAAGAAAAATTAAAAGCATCTATATATTTACTAATGTTCTAATCTACTCGGAGAAATAGCGCACCATGTCCCATATCGAAAAAGAATACAGTTACAATTGGAGTCTCTCTAGTATCTACTATAAAAGGGCTAACACAACATGTTGTCTATGAAAGACTTTTGGTTGCTTCATGAGGTAAGTGAAGACAAGATTGGAACTCAACAATGTTTTGTATATTTTCCTCAATAATAATGTGGGATTACATTCTCAGTTATATATAACAAAAAGAGAGAACTCTCTAGAACTTAGACACCTAATAGGAAAATGATGAGGATCAAAATTCAAAAAAGATTCCTAGG